AACTGGGAATAACTGATTAAACTTAAGGTTTTGGGTCCAGGAATAAAGGGAATTTATGGGATTGAAAATTTACACTGGAAGATAAACATTGAATAAGCAGGATAGGAAATATTTGTTTGTTTGTTTGTTTGTTTATTTAACGGGATGAACCCTTTTTCCTTACAAAAATTACAATATACACATATAATTAACATATAAACTGTAGTCATATATTACAATTTTAAAAAGTATTAATAACATTAATGTCTCAATTTCTTTAAACTGTTCTTGAACGAGGACACGGATAAATTAAACAATTCAACACTATCTTGCAAATTATTGGCAGTTCTCAACATCCTTGTGATTGACTCACTTTTACCATAATTAGTGTGATGAAACTTTAGTCTAAACAGGTCAGGAGAGCGTGTTCTTCTAGAATTTACATTAAAAACAATTAATTCCAGCAGTTCCGGACAATCAACATAACCATTAAGAATTTTATGCAAAAAACGCAATTCACACTCAGATTCTCTATTTTCTAAAGTTTTCAAATTAAGTTGACAAAGAATATAGTTATAATCACAGTTAGTTCTATTAAAACCCATTTTATACCTGCAAATTCTTAGGAATTTATTTTGAACTCGTTCCAACTGATCAATATACATATTATAATATGGATACCAAATAATATTACAATATTCCAAAATGGACCGAACTAGGGAACAATACAAAATTTGGAAAGTAAATATTGAAAATTCTCGGGAGTTCCTTTGAACAAAGCCGAGCATTCTACAGTGTAGGAAAAATTTTATGGTCGGTATGGACCTTACGTGAGATGGAGTGAGAAACAGCTGTTTAAAAAGAGAGAGGTATATTAGGTACGCCCTTTATATCGCCGAATGGAAATATTAAAAAAGGGGAAATTCAACGTTGCCAAACTTATTGGTTTTATTTGACCTGTTGTCTTTTTTTGCATTTGAACAATGTTCTATCAAGAAGATAAAATGCTCAAGATAATCAAATTTGGGCGAAATTGATTTAAATGGCAGGTTACTGTTTTTTTTATTGGGAATATGCCACAAGTTTTCTTTACAATAATTGTAATATAACATTTTGATTTCCATTTCGGAAATTGTTTTATATAAATAAAATTTATTAATGTTTCGTATTTTAAATACAATTTCCGAACTAAAAATCTAAACATCAAAATAATTTCCCAATATGAAATAATAAACAATTAAACATGCATACAATAACGCCAAATTAAAAAATATTCATACACTAATTTATTTGGCAACGTCTAGTCTAGATAGTTGTCTGGTCAAAAGATCGAGTAACGAGAAGTAGAGGTGGGTCGTGCTAATTTATCGTTAAGACCGTAGGAGCAAAATTTCGCGCCAATGTTTTTTAAATGCATTCATTTTTTTCGAATCCTGAGAAAACTAATAAATATTTTTGAAAAAATTAAACGCAGAATGAAACAATACATTATTACCGAGAGCTGAAAGTCCCTGAAAACTTCTATAATGTTTATTTTAATTAAGTTATAGGGATGAAAAAAAAAAACAAAATTTAGTGTGATTTTTAATTTCAAATATCTCATTAAAAAAACTTTTTGTTTATTCTAAGGGACCTTCGGCCCTCGGTAATAATGTAATCTTTCATTCTGCATTTAAATTTTTCAAAAATATTTGTTAGTTTTCTCAGGATTCCAAAAAAATTTAAATTTTTTTGAATGCTAAAAAGCATTTAAAAATTTTAATTTTCATAAACAAGTAACTATGATTGTTTAAAAGTAGTTTCAAGTAAGATAGTACCTACATAAACAAACATAACGGCAATTATCGTTTATGTGTATATCTTTTGAAGTGAAAGAAACTACCTAATGATATATTTATTATAACTTGAAAAATAAACTAAACAATCATCATCATCATATAACGGGGGTCCTACGGCGATTGCCGCTTCCCGCATTTCAGCCTCCATCTTTTCCTATCTCCCCAATCTCCCTCTTCTAAGCCTCTAGATTGCATTGTTTTTGTAATTTCTCTTCTCCAGGAATTTGGTGGTCTTCCCCTTTTCCTTCTTTCTGGCGGAACATACATTAAGGCTTTCTTTGGCCACCGCTCCTCCTCCATTCTCATCACGTGACCATACCATTGTAATTGCCTTCCTTGTATTCTATCTGAAAGAGTATCTCTAATTCCTGTACGGTTTCGTATTTCCTCATTCCTGATTCTTTCCATTCTCGATACTCGACATGACCTTCTAAGATAATCCATTTCCACAACGTCTACTTTATCTCGTTCATTCTTTGTCATCGTCCAACATTCGGCACCATATGTGGTAATTGGTTCTACAATTGCTCTGTATACGCGAAGTTTGGTATGCATCTTTATTTTATTAGACCACAGTAATGAATTCAGTATTCGGATGCATTTTTTCCCTTGGGTTATTCGGTTTTGTACATCTATCTTAACTCTGCCATCTGCTGATATGATGCTTCCTAGATATTTATACTGGTTGCAGCCTTTTATGACTGCGTTTTCAAGCCTCAGATCTGTGGTATTTCCTCCAATTTTTAAATATTCTGTTTTAAATATTCTGTTCTAAACTAAACAATACAAATAGTAAATCGGACTTACATTTACATTACATGTTATTATTAAATCGCGAATAGTCTAAATTGACATAAAAACATAAGTTTTTCTACTTTACTTCTTGTTAACCGTATTCTTTTTTATTTAAAATTAAACCAGATTTTGAACATGTGTTCACATTTACAATACTTTATGAATATAGTGGTTAAGTTAGGATATACATGGCGATGGTTTTTCCACCGTTGTAATGGACTCTCGATGCAGGTGTACGTGTAGATGAGTCATCTCCAATTAATTGATCAAAAATACACCATGGACTTAAGTCATATTTATTGGTTTCTTTTTCTTGTACTGGTTGATTTTCAATAGTACAATCTTCTTGTTCGTTAATTATAGAAGTAACCAGCTTCTTAACTTTTTGTTTTGTTCTGCACTTTAAATCGTGAATCCATAGATGTACATAATGACAATGTGCCACTCTGTTCTATCCCTCTAAATCTTTTTGCTAAACCCGATATTAGTAATTGTACTATGTCGGATACTATGGATGTAAGTATGCCGTTTGCTAAAATTTTATTGCAAGATTCTTGCAGGCAGCGTACCATAACAATCACTGAACTAGCATTCAAGTATTTTTGGTCACTCATTGTACTTGTTATTTCTTTAAACGGCCGTAAAATTTGGGAAAGTTGAGAACAAATAATCCAGTGTTCTTTATTTAGATTAGGTTTAAGTCTAAGTCTGTATTATTTAATACCAATGTGGAACGGGTTGCCTCTTCTAACTCGGTCATTCTTTTTAACATGTAATAGGTGAAGTTCTACCTAGTTTCCACGTCTTGGATTAGCCGTTTGGGAACTGTGTTCTGTTGTAATTAATACTTTAAAAGCCTTTCTGAAGATAAGGTACTTTTTTGAAATGTGTTTTTTTTGCAGAATTGTCGAAAAAAGGACTTTTTATTTTATCTATTTGTACACGACAGCATTTAAGTGCGTCCCCCACCAATAAATTTAATCATCATCATAAATCACAATCATCATAAAACAAAACATATTTAATAGCTTTGACCATATTTTAGGAATTATGCTGGTTAAAGCTGGTTCTTTAACTATGGAAAACGGATGAAACGAAAAGTTTAGTAAATCTTGAAAATCAATCAGTCCAAGAAAAAGAAACTGATAAAGATGACTTAAGTCCATGGTGTATTTTTGATGAATTAATTGGACATGACTCATCTAAACATACACCTGTATCGAGAGGTATAAAAGAAGTCGACATGTAATTGTCTGATGATATATTACCCACAAACAATTTCGAACGGAGATTGGAACTGTCCATTACCGTGGTGAAAAAACCATCGCCATGTATATCGTAACTTAAACACTATATTCATAAAATGTTGTAGTATTGTAACAAAATCTTTTCCTTATGGTGGAAAGTGGAAAAACTTATGTTTTAAATGTCATTTTAGACGATTCGCGATTTAATAATGTGTAATGTAAATGTAACTATTTAAGTACCATTTGTATTATTTAATTTATTTTTCAAGTTACAATAAATATATCATTCGTTAGGTTCTTTTATTTCAATACTTATACACATAAACGATAATAGCTAATATGTTTGTGTACTCGCTAATTTGAATACTGGTAAACAATCAACTAGTTACAGTTTACGAAAAACGGTTCCGATAAAAATTAAAAAAACGAGAAGACCCACCTCTAGTTTTTTAGGTATATTAGGATCGGAACCAGAGAATATCTGATCGGAACTAATCGTCTCACTAATGGGCAATGGCCAATGAGTGTTAAAAGGATTTTAGGAGGGGAGACGAAGGGGAAATATGATTGTTATCTTTGTCTAATTCGTTGAAAATATGATTTTATATCTGCGTTAGATATCCTGTTAAATTTTACCATACCGACCTTAAAATTTTACCTACACTGTATAAGCCCGCGATGTAATATTATTAATATGCCTATCAAACATTAGTCTTTGGTCAAATGTAATTCCAAGGTCTCTAATTTGATTTACTTCTGTAATCGATACTCCCTTAAGTATGTATGTTCTATATAACTGATGTTTAGTATTTGATGAATGAGTGACAGAAAGTCAAGTGACAAAAGAAAAACATACTTATGTTAAGGGTTTATTGCCATTATAATATTTAGACCAAAGAAGGAAAGTTACAAATAATGCCAATAGTAAACAATAAATGAAGTATTCTTTCATTTTATCATTTCGTTCTGCTAATTTCGACAAGTTCTTGGACTTAATTAGAAATTAAATATAAAATAAGTTAACAAACTATCACACTGACAGTTTTTGTGAAAAAAATTTATTAAAACAATATTTAATATGCATTATATCTGAATATTAAGTAATATTCATTAAAAAAGTCAGTAATATGATTTTTTATGTAGATTTCTAGCTCATCAACTACATCCTAGCAATTGTTTGGGAATAGCAGTTTTTGCAGAGCATCAAGCAATTTCAAGTTTGTTGCAAGAAGCTAATGCTTATACCAGTCAACATTTCATGCAAGTAAGTGCCAAATTTGGAAAGTATATGTACAAGGTGTCAAAAAACTTCATATACACAAGAAAAATGAAATTTAGAGCTCAGTTTGTTTGGGGCACATTATACTCACAGTTTCTACTGTTAGACTCCAATAAATATCTTGACCTAATATGCCCATATATGGTTCTGAAAGTATTTTCTTATAGCATATCTAAATTGGCTAGTTCAGTATTGGTAATAAACCATAGTTTATTCACATTAAATATACTAGATAATGTCTATAATTTGTTTATGTTGCAAAATCATCATCACCATGATCAGCCCATTTTTAAGTCCATTACAGGACATAGGCTTTTCCTGTTTGTATCCCGAGTCTACAGTCTTGTGCAGTATGAATCGAATTTTTCATTATCTTTTGCAGATCATCTTGTCATTATACAGGTGGTCTTCCTCTATTGCAAAGTAATCCTCTAAAGACTCCCTTCTCTTCCAGAAAACATTTTCTAATAAGTCTAATGAACACAGGCTAAAATAAATTTAATTTCATTTTATTACGGAACTGTGGACTTTATGTACATACAGTATATTCTTTATTTAGGTGATACGAAATCAGGAGTTCCTTCAGCTCAATGTCGACCAAATGGCAACACTATTGAACAATGATGATTTAAATGTGACCTGTGAGGAACACATCTTCCAGGCATTGATGAGCTGGATTCAGTATGATACAGATTCTAGGCGTCAGCACATCGGCCACTTGCTGGGTTTCGTGAAACTACCTTTGTTAAATCCAGCATTTTTGACAGACCAAGTTGAACCAGTTTGTGAAGGTAAGACAATCACATCCATTTGGTTGTTATAAGAGGTCGTTTTTGTGTTGTAGCAGTTTTTATTATTATTTTTTTTTAACATCAAAATATGACCATATAATTATAAGTTTAAAAACTGATGGATAGGAATTTTGACTCTTAATTGTAGAATAAGGATGATGAAATCATTACTTTGCCAAGATGAGATGGTGTGAATTCAGGGAATGTTGATAGGTGCAAATTTGGGGAAATGAATCATTTCAGTTTTTTTCTGGACCTTTTCACAGGTTGTCCTTATTATACAAACAAGTTTTTGTTCTCTTTTATAATGATGGAATACTTGTTATAGCAGGCAACTGCATTTGAACATTATCATAGAAATTATGTTGGTTGATTAATTAAGAAAAAATAAATAAAATATTTAATGGTCAGTATTTGGCGAATGTTTTGGTGGGTTTGGTAACAAAATCAAGGAGAAACAGCCAAATTTGGAAAGGACTAAAGTGATTTTCTATCAGAATAACACCTTGGCTAACAAGTTTAGTTTTAAATGTAGTATTGAATTATGTAGGCATTGCTAGTTCGTTAATTTCTTTATCGACCAAACTCATGACTTTAATATTCCATTTAAGGTGACCTCACATGCCAAAAACTAATAATGGAGGCGATGAAGTGGCACCTCTTGCCAGAACGTCGCCTTCAGCTGGCCAGCTCAAGAACGAGACCTCGAAAAGCAACTCTGGGCAAACTCTTCGTGGTAGGAGGCATGGATAAAAACAAGGGAGCGACTACTATCGAAAGCTACGACCCTAGATGCGACGCTTGGGCAGTGGCGCATCATATGAACGGGAGAAGGTTGCAGTTCGGTATAGCATTAATGGGAGATAAGTAAGTCAGTGATTTATTGTAATTTCACATTAATTTATTTGTTTCAAAATTTGTTTGACATAATTATTTGAATTACTAACAAAAATTTTCAATATTTGTCTTTTACATTGATCCTATTTTACTTTGAAATCTTTTCACACAAGACAGCACCGGTTAGAGAAAATGTTCATCCAACAATTTAGGAAATAACATGTTTTTATGAGTATCATACAAACAGTACTTTTTTGATATTTTGTTTGTCTGAATGTTTAGACAAAATTATCCCTTCTGATTGTATTGTTGGGTGTAAGTATGGATCAACAGTTAAAACCGATAAACATTGATATTTTGTATTTTGATCTTTTCCCAGTTTTTCTGTGAAGATGTAGACGATCTTTTTAAACACTGCTTGATTTCACACATTTGTATTCTGCTTTAGATTACTCATCGTAGGAGGTAGGGACGGTTTGAAAACGTTAAATAGCATGGAGTGTTTAGATATGGAGAGCGGTTCTTGGACACAACTTGCTGCCATGAATACTCACAGACATGGTTTGGGAGTTGCTGTTTTAGGTGGAACTTTATATGCGGTGGGAGGACATGATGGTTGGAGTTATCTTAACACAGTCGAACGGTAAGTCCAGGGGTTTATTTTGGATATTTTTTCACCTAATTGTACTTTAAATCTTTACATCTGGTTAAAAGAATATAAAAAGATAAGGTATGGTTAGATTAGGTTAGGTAGGGTTCAAAGACCAATTTGAATACTTTTAGTATGAAGAAAAAATTGGAATACTTTTAGTTTGAAGAAAAATATCATAACCTTTGAATATATATCTTAGTAAAGACATCATTGGCCAGGAAAGAAAGGATATACAAGAGTTATCAGTAGATAGGGTAATAGAGTGTGCTGTATGCGAAGCTAATATAGGTAATAACAAACTCATTATAGCATCAGTTTACAGACCATCAGGTAGCGATCTGGCAGTTTTTTTAAACAAATTTGATATTATACTGGGAAGAATTATGATAGAAAACACAATTATAATTATAGGGGGAGATTTCAATATCGATGTTAAGAATAACACATTGAAGACTACACTAGAGTAACTGCCACATCTAAAACTTGTATAGATAACATACTAACAAATATGCAATCATATGTGTCAGTAGAAGTCTTGCACGCTGGAATCTCTGATCATTCTGCCCAAAAATTAACTTTTCAGGTAGAGGAAGTAGAAACGAATACTCTTGAAATGAAAAGACATTTTAGTACAAATAATATTGAAACCTTTATAAGTAAATTACATAATCATGATTGGCTTAATTTAAGTTACAAATGTGTAAATGATCAATGGAATACTTTCTTAAATCAGTTTCTGTATATATTCAATCAGTGCTTTCCTTTTAAAAAGTTAGATTCTAGGCAACGTAAAAAAGGCCTTAATAAAAGAGATGATCCAGAGATAATAGAATGTAAGACTCGTTTAGACATCTTGTTTACAATGAGCAGAGTTAACCATAAATTCTATGATTCCTATAGACAGGTAAAAAAAGTATATAATAAGAAACTAATAACAAAACGATCAAAACTATATGAAAACAGGATGTCTGAAGCTGCCAACAAAAATAAATGCATGTGGCAAATTGTTAGTGAAATTAATGGTCAATTAAAAAGTGTAAATTCAATAAAAGTAGAGGGTAGTCCTCAAGAGATTGCTGAAAAATACATGATGCACTTAAATACTTCTTTAAATAACACTTTATCTCAATTACAATACACTGAATATAAAGACAACATTGCAAGTAACATAAATTCAGTGTTTGTCGCACCTGTGACAGAAACTGAAATTATGGATATAACTAAAAATTTAAAAAACAAAATGAGTTGTGGAATTGATGAAATACCCACTAAAATCCTTAAACTTTGTATAAAGAAGATAGTGAATCCTCTCACTACAATCATAAATAATTCACTAAAATCGGGTGTATTTCCTGAATGCCTGAAAAACTGCCATAGTAACACCTGTTTACAAAAAGGGTGATCCTAAATTAATTAATAACTATAGACCAATTAGCCTTCTATGTTCCTTTTCACTAATCTTAGAAATGACTATGTATAGGCGGATAACAGAATTTTTAACAAAATGTCATATTATTAGTGCAAATCAGCATGGTTATCAACAGGGAAAATCAACTCAGACTGCGATTTTTCAATTTGACTGGGATATTTTGAAATGTACTGAGATTGGTCATATGGCTTTGGGTCTCTTTTTGGACCTATCAAAGGCATATGACTGTTTAGTGCATGACATATTATTTGATAAATTAGAGAAATATGGTATACGTGGACCAGCATTGAACTGGTTTAAGTCCTACTTGGCAAATAGGAGACATTTAGTAAAAATACATAAAAACACTGAAATAGGCATCTCATCTGAAAGCACTATCAATATTGGAGTACCACAAGGAAGTGTGATTGGTCCTTTACTGTTTGTGATCTATATCAATGATCTTCATGGTCTAGTGGCTAATACTACTTCCAGCATAACAAATTATGCAGATGATACAAACATTTTAGTCAGTGGTAAAGACATGTCTGTTCTAAGCGTTAATGCTAGTTTAGAGTTCCAGAAAGCTAAAGACTGGTTTTCTATGAATAGGTTGGTTTTAAATCAAAATAAAACAGATCTTCTTTTGTTTAAGACAAATTATGCACATTCAGATATGCCAAACAGTATTATTGTAAATAATGACACTTCAAATATTAGCAACAGTACCAAATTTTTAGGATTATATATTGACAGTTTTTTATGTTGGGATAAACATGTTGACCAGTTATGTATGTCTTTGAGTAAAGTGATTTACAGCTTTAGAGTCCTAAAAAAATACATGAATAGTAACTAATTAAAAACAGTGTATCATGCTAATTTTGAAGCAAAATTTAGATATGGTCTAATAAATTTTGGCCACAGTAGGGACATAAATAATGTATTTCTGGTTCAGAAAAAAATAATCAGAGTTATGTTTGACTTAAAAAGTAGGGAATCATGTAGAGGGCATTTTAGGAGTAATAATATTTTAACAGTTTACGCTGTATTTATTCAAGAATGCTTACTGTTTCTATATAAAAATAAAATACTCTTTAGGAACTTTGAGCCCAATAGTATAGTAAATACTAGGTTAAATAATTATAAAATTCCAATACACAGGTTAAGGATAACAGAAAAAAAACGCTCTTTATTGCTGCATCAAATTGTTTAATAAACTGCCTGAACCTATTAAAAGGGAGGAAAGTTTGTATAAACATCAAATATTTAAATTACTGGTAGCTCTTGAGCCATATTCTGTGGAGGACTATTTGTATATGTAACAGTTAGGAATAAGTAAATAATATTTTCGTTTGTGACACTGTTTTTTTTTTTAAATAATTTTATGTTCACGGAATGTATATTATTTTCTAAAACTAAAGATATTGTTATGTTATGTTATGTTATATTTTTTAAATCGTTCATATTTCGTGAATGTTCACCAGAAATTCCATTGATGGATCTTTTCAGGTGGGACCCAGTGGCCCGTAACTGGCGATACGTGACGCCAATGCAAAACCAACGTTGTTCAGCTGGTATAGCAGTCTTGGGTGGAAAACTGTATGCGGTAGGAGGTCGAGACGGAGCATCTTGTCTCAGAACGGTCGAAAGTTACGATCCACATACCGATAAATGGACCATGGTGTCTTCGTTGACAAGAAGGAGAGGTGGGGTAGGTGTAGCTGTCGTTAACGGGTATCTGTACGCTATGGGAGGACAAGACGCTCCAGCCAATAATCCGGCAGCTTCTAGATTCGATTGTGTGGAGAGATATGACCCGAGTAAGTGATTATTTATCAAATCTTCTTCCGTGCTAAATCAATGCGAAAAATATTAAATGTTTTTACGTTTTGGGGAAATTGTAGCAAATTTATTTGGACACTTTAGCTGTAAGTACAATTTGGCGTTTTAAAAGGTATGTATAGGAAACAGTTTTGATTAAGAATTGAAATTCGTTCATACTAATAGTTCATTATATTCGTCGGAATCGGTTAAAAAACATGGTCCTTCGAACCGGATCTTTTGTACTGAATTTCTTTACTATTATCGACAAAAAGCGATAATAGGCCGGTTTGAATCCGAATTAAATTTACTACAGTTTTCATAGAATTTGTCCAAAACTAGTATTGAACATAGCGACTGATGGGTATTTTTTTTCTTAACCACGTTTTCTATTGAATGATTTCTGATCTGTTTTTTCTTATGTACAGAAACCGATACGTGGACAACGGTAGCCTCACTTTCGAGCAAGAGAGACGCAGTGGCGGCATGTCGCTTCGGCGACAAACTTTACGCAATCGGAGGATACGACGGTAGTCATTATCTTCACACCGTAGAGCAATATGATCCGAACGCTAACGAATGGAACACCCTGTCTCCGTTAATCACCGGACGTGCTGGAGCGTGTGTTATTGCAATCAGTAACAGTGTACAAAATAGCGCATGATTGGTTAACACGGAAGTTTTATAAAAGGTTGTTTTTATTGATTGATGCTTGGCGGGGTAATTGGTAAGTCCCGAATGAGGAAAGCGTATTCAGCGAGAATCAAAATTTTTATATTTTGTAAAATTTACGCCGTTATTTGAAACGTCATGATAGCATAATTCTGCAGGTAATATTTGAGCGTTGTTTATGCTTAAAAGGCAGAGTCTGGTCTAATAAATTGTTCATTGAATTGTGAATGAGTTGATCCTCATAAAAAAGAAACTTAACGTATTATTACGTAAGTACTAACGTTTTCAGAAGTCTTTTCGTTCCGAATTATCCTCACTGTCATCTCATTCATTAAAAATATCACTGAATCAACGAGAGCGCAAATAAAAGAAGTCCCATAATGGAACAAATACTTTTTGGAACACAATTCTAGCTAAATCTCCAAATAAATTATGTAAGAAGTAGAAAAAAAACATCAAAGCTCAATAAAAAGTGTGCCGATAAATACTTTTAATCAAAATCCAACACTTTTGTCAACGAAATTGTGTAACAACGAGTATAGCAAATAGTTTTGTGCGAAATAAAGTCCAATTACCAAATAAAAGATGTAACAATAGATTAAACAGAGCTAAAACACCAAACAACCAATAATTGGGGGATATAAGAATGAAGCAAATACTTTTTGAACAAAACTGAGCACAATTGCCAAAGTAATAAACAAAACAGGATGTAAGTAGAAGAAAATAGAGCTAAAAGATGTAATAAATGATGAATGTCAAAATAGAGCAAATACTTTTTGGAAAAAATGAAGCAAAATCACTGAAAGTAATTTTGTGCAGTTACTTTTGGGACAAAGCAGTAACCAATCACCAAAAAACGGATATTAGTTGGAGAGTATAGAGCTAAAAGACCTAGTAAATGTTGGATATAAGAATAAATCGAATACTTTTTGGACAAAACGAAGAAAAATCACTAAAAGTAATTTAGTAATTCCAGTTTGCAATTTTGCCAATACATTCATAAATTTGCATATTAGACCAGTTACTTTTGGTCAAAAGTATTCCCAATCACCAATAAATGATGTTGAAAGTCGTTAAAACATAACTAAAATATCGTAAATGATAAATACACAAATAAAGTATGTGCTTTTTGAACAAAATGCAAAATAATCACAGAATTAATGGTGTAATTCATAATAGAGTAAATACTTTTGGAAAAAACAGTGCACAGTCGTCAAAGTAATGGTGTAATTCAAAATTAAGCAAATACTTTTGGACCAAATATAATTCAATCGCTAAATAAAGGATATAAGAGTTGAAAATAACCGAAAAGTATTTAATAAATAAATAAATGAAGTATACCAGAACATATTAAATAAGATTTGTACCACATAGAGCTAAAACATCAAATAAATAATCGATGCAAAAATAAAATAAATACTGTTCAAACAAACCAAGTACAATCACCAAATTACTGATGTAGTTTGAGATAGAGTAAATATTTTTGTACAGAAAAAGAACTAAATCAAGAAATAAATGTTCAAATCACCAAATCAATGATGTAAACATTGGAAAAGAACCAGAATTTGGATAAAATCACCAAATTAAAGTCAGCAGTTTCGAAAATACGTATAGTCCTGATGATCGCCAACCTTCGGAACGAATATGGCAGTTGAAGAAGAAGACCAAATTAATGATGTAGTTCGAGACAGAGCAAATACTTTTGGACAAACCAGTACATAATCGCCAAAGTAATATAATCCAGAATAGAGCAAATACTTTTGGACCAAGTATAGTTCAATTACCAAATAAAGGATATAAGAATTGCAAATAATCAAAAAGGGTTTAATTAAAACCAAAATCACCAAATATTTGGACAAAAACACCAAATTAGATCGCGCAATCACCAAATTAATTATTTAGATAAGGAAAGAACAAATACTTTTGAACAAACCAATACACAATCGCCAGAGTAGTGATGTAATTCATAATAAAGCAAATAATTTTGAATCAAATATAGTTCAATCACTAAGTAAAGGATATTGTGAATTGAAAAACACCAAAAAGTGTGTAATTCATTAATAAATTAAGTATGTCAGATTATAGTAAATAAATTTTGCACCAAATGCAATGATAAAGTAATTACTGTTTGAACAAAACCAACTACATCACCAAATTACTGATGTAGTTCGATATAGAGGCAATATTTTTCAACATAAAAGTACAAAATCAAAAATAAAGCCCAGTTACCAAATCAAGGATGTAAGAATTGGAAAAGAACTGATGCAAGAGTAAACCAAATATTTTTTGTAAAACAAATACTTTTGGACAAAGTAGAGTGGAATAACCGAATCAAGAATAAACAACAACCAAAATCACCAAAAATTTGGACAAAATCACCAAATGAAATCGCACAATCACCAAATTAATTATGTATTAAAGAATTATGGAAATATTCGGGAACAAAGAACAAGAATTGGTAACAGTAACTGAAAAATGAGTGTTTGATAGATTGTTCAATACAGAAATGTTGATAAGTCATTAAGATCCAGCGTAAATTAATATTAATAAACAAGAATATATATATAAGATGTGTTAGTATTCACAGAACTAGATGGACTTCAACCTGGATTATTGTATGCTATCATGAATTTTCGTTTCAAAGATTTCAGCAATTTTTTGTAATTCAATTTAAAAAGAGCTTACTGTGCTAAAATTAGACATAATTATTTGTACGTATCTGCCATATTATATAACATACATTCCGTGAAAATATAAAGGAAAGTTACTGACTGTTCTGTTGAATTACGAGGGCAAGGTGAAAAGTTTCTGGTATAGTAATGAAAAATGAGTTCGTTTCTTACATCAGTGCACTTTCTGCAGTTTGTATTTTGTCCTTCTTATAGAAGTAGAAGTACTTTTACAGATCTAGATCTGTAAATTTTACAGATTTCTAGATCACACAAAACTTTCAATTATTGGGTTTTCTCGTAAGTTGTGACTTGTATTTCTGAAGGATCCAAAAATTTAATTGCAATATTCGGATGTTCATTCAGACCTAGCTTTTTTATTTCCTAATGTCAGCCAATAGTTCGACGCTATATTGTCGACAGTGTCTTGACTGACCTCATTGGGATGTCGCCCGTGCAGAGGTTTACCCATACAGGTGCTCATTTTTTCGTCCTTATCCTTATCCATATACAATAGATGATTAAGCTTTGACACAACAGTAGTGTTATTTTTTATGCTAAAACCGATACGATTTATTGGCACTTTCTGTAATAGCATTGAGTTTCCAAACCAAAAATTGTTGTTTTAATGTATCCAGACGCTGTTATGCTGTGTTGTTTTCTGGATTATATTGTGATTGTCTTGCGGTGGTTAGCATTATTTCTTCAGCTCTTCTGATTACTTTTCTACTTGTTGTTCCTCATACATATTCCGTAATTGTAACTAATATTATTAATAATATATATTATTATTAAATGTATTGTTTCAAGAACATATGGTTGACTCTGTAGATTGAAATGTCAGTTGGTAGTACAGATTTCTTCCCTAGGTGGCGTTAGGAGTCATCCTAGAGGACAAACTGTAAGTTGTCGTCCTAGTCTTTTGTTATATAGATAGATATATAGTCATGAATCGGTGTATAGTCTGAGTCAGTGGCGGCGCAAATGGGGTTCTACAAATAAATATCTACAAATTTTTATGTTTTTCATATTATAATAGGACAGATACGTAAAAATGCTATAATTATTTGTCTTAGAAAATTATATTGATAAGCCGTATTAAAACTAAGACTGACTGAAACCGGCTGCATTTATTTGGATATCAAGACTGACACTTTTCTTATTTCTTAGTCTTCAAATTATTTTCAACAATTAATTAGAAAAAAATTATTTCGTTCGTAAAAATTTTTTATTTTAATTTGAAATATCTAATATATTTTATTATAATGACGAGAATCTGTTATTTGCTTTGGAATATACAGGGTGGTTCATAAATAATGTTATAGAATACCTAACAATTATCTTAACAATTATTTTTACCTTAGGCATATTATTTTCATTAAAATTGTGTTTAAAAAAAATCCGATAGTCGTTTACACAAATTAGGTTATGTAGTATCTATTGTATTTACATTTATTATGAATTCCTTAATTCCTTGTGTTGGAATGACTTACTGTCCAAAAGATGGAAGGATTAGCTTTGAATCCGGACTATGGGGTGGCTAGGGAAATCTATTCTCACACATTCCTTATGAATCACCTGTAGTATTTGAGGTTTTTTAGCTAATTATTACCTATGTAGTGATTTTTTGAGCTTATTACATTCATAAATATTTATTTAATTTAAGTAGTGATGGTTGTTGTCGCGGGAGACTGTATATAGTGGATGATCGCGAGCAAAAAATTACATAATGCTGCAATAATATGATTTTCTTAAAGAATTTTAAGATTTTGCTTAATATTTCAGACATAATAAGAATTAATCAAGAACCATTCAATACAATTGTCGATAAAAGCTTCGGTTACCTTTAATGGACTAATTTTACACAAATTTTGGTAAAATAAAAAACTTTGCTCCATTATGCAGAACACAATCATCGGTGTACATCATAGTAGGTTCCGTGTTTTAAAACATTTGATATTTTCAATAAAATGTAAATTATAATGTGAATTACCTAATAAATCTCATATTGGTCTGCTAAATTCGAAATATGGCAACGTGGGAAATGTAACCTACAATGAAATTTGTTCTGCGTTCAGTATACAGTATTTCTTTTTTTATTATATAATGGCTTTGGCTTAGCCAAGTAGCCAGAACATGTGTATTTGTGATATTGTGTCACAAATGTCATAATGGTAATAATTTTTATTATTTACCTGTAACCCATTGTATAATACATATATCTATAAATATTAATTAATTGTCTTGCTATATTATTAATTCAAATTGCGATTTTTTTTTTCAAAAACGATAAAAATATACAATCAAATACATGATATGTGTT